GTCGCTCATCACTTTAAACGCCACTCATTTCACCCACAATCACCTGCGTCCGCGTATTGTCGCGGGTATTACACAACATTATGTCCGCGAAAACACGCGAATTCGCAATCGTCCATGTCGTGGTGAGCGCATACACCCGGACCGTTGTAATTTACACTCTCAGAAAGGCGCACAAATGGACACAGGTTTACGTAAATTTAAAAACAACTTTAGTATGAATTGCAAAGATTGTACAACAAGGCATCCAATCATGAATCTTTTCAGCTCGACTTTACTTGTCAATTATATAATTTTTTCCCCTTAAAAATCATATAAAGTGAATAATGCAGTACTTCAAGGCGATCATAAGTTTTCTCCTTCAATTTAAACTCGTGAAAAGTGAACATTTCCTTATATTCTCAAAGGTAGATTTTTCACTTTTCACGAATTCACACTAAAGGAAAAAATTCGCGATTGAACCTTTTATGAGTAACTCATATGGCACTCGTATTTGTCACAGAAAGTGGCGAAAAATACGAAATTAATACGAGCAGGATGGCTTAGAATTTACTTAAAATAACGTTATATAAAATGTAACCTAGAAATTTAAGTATAACTTCTAATAAACTTGTTGCTGCATCAATATAACAAAAAATTATATTTAATACGATATAAATATAATGATTAATTTAATATAGCATACTCTCATATACTAAATGTAATTAAAAAAATTGTAGAGTTGCCATCATTGATCGCATCTCACGTCGTAATAATCACCAAAGTCTTTTATTGGAAATGATTATCACGTAGAATATGACGAAGTGCGGAAAAAGTGATCAAAGTTTATTTAAAACAATATGTCATAACAAGATGTAATAAGAAAGCCGAAGTAAAACTTTTAGTGAATTTGGCGCTACACTAATGTAATAGAGAATTTCCATTATTGTATGACGTAAACTTAATTATTAATTAAATACACAGTATATTTGCATCATAAATATAATTAACTCGGATGTCCCCTCAGAGGGGACATTTTAAACCTACATAGAGAACGATTTATTGAATCAAATAAATGTTTCTTTGGAATAGTCTAAACAAATTATTTTATTGACACAACAAAAATATTTCTTTAGAACTAAACCGCAAATAAATATTTTTGTTGCGCCAAACAAAATTTTGTTAGATCAATCAAAAAATTTGTTTAGACTATTCCAAAGAAGTGTTTATTTGATTCAACCAAATCGTTTTCTCTGTGTAGCAAAGATGTCTCCGAGTGCAAAGGGTTAAAAGAATTGTACAGAAAAGAGTATTGTAGTTCCTTCTCATATAACTTATTTTTTATTGTATTATATATTTATAGTAACGCAAGAATAGAGACGAATAGAGAGAGAAAATGTATCTTGCTGAGGAACATAGACAATATTTTAATATTACATTTCAATTCCTAGAATATGAATAATATAAAATGAGAAGATGATTAATTATCGCAGAATGTCGATTAGATTAATATTCGATTGGAGAATTCTAAAGTAATTTTTAAAATTTTCTCCGTGCAAAGTTCCCGTAATCGTGATTCTCACGTCGTGACAAACATGAAAGTCTCTCTGGGCAACGTGCCGCTTGATTAATCCGCACGACTTACATCCCTGTCAACCTTTCATTCGTGGTCGAGTGTAATTTGAAGCCGATGCATAAGTCGAATATACCTCATTTCTTTCGTGATATGCATAGTCTTTTCTTCATATTACATGCATTTTCGAAAAAAATATACATCTCAGTAAGTTGTACATTTACAAACGCCTAAAGGTAAGGTGCAAGTGGTAAACGCACTTACTAAAGGTCTAAAAAGTCGAGCCAAGGACGTTCGTGAAGTCAGCCATAAAGCCTGTGTGTATGATTCAACGAGAGAATTATAATCCTCACTAGGGGGGATCCCACGGGTCGTGTTCTCGAAGCGGAGACGCCAAGCGGCAATTTTTGTCGCGAATTGCCGAGCAGAGTCTTCTCTTTCCGGCTCCTCATTATAATTCCGCCGCGCGAAACGACGTTCTCACTTTGTCACTGTCTAATAAAGCTTTTTGCTTTCTTGGCAGATTCACGGCAAGGCCGTGGTCTTAAGTAAACTTGACCCGCACCGTCAGTTAATGGATTCGGGAACACTCCCGGGGTCCGTTCGAGTATGCAAAACGACGCCATCGTCCAGGAGGAGGAAAAAGAGAGGGCGCGAGATGGCCAGGAGAGGGGAGAGTAAACAGAATCATTTGGGCGATAGCGAGAGACCGCGAATCTCGACTTTAAACGATCGGATACACTTCGGTTAATAAGATTATTCCACGCGCTCCCTCCTCGCCGACCAAGTACGAAAAAAGCTCCCGGCGATTTCGCCGACGTTTCACAACGCAACTTCGCGCAATCGCGTTCAACGTGAACGAGAAGGGCTTGCGCACACGTAAATGCGAGCCACGGAGCCTTCTGTTTATCCTGCAACCGTAAAAGTATCGTCGACAACGTGTTCTTAAGCATCGAATTAAAACACACTCGCGAGATAAAGATACTTCAAATAAAGTATGAACTACACATCTACCGGCATCCCCCTCAGCCATTGGCATTCTGGAAGGAGCTGGTTTCTTTTGCAACCAACGGCATTTATCCGCAGTTTAAACTGTGAAGATCTCTTTCGGAATCACAAAGTGCAGGCAAGAAGCTTAACTGTAATGCTGGTCGTATGAAAAACCAGGTTTTCTTAGAATGCCAATGACAAAAGAGAGTGCTAATAATAGTGTGGTTTATCATTACTTATTTGAGATAACTCCAAGCTGTTTTCCAGATGGACTTTTATAATTATCACGACGTGAAACAGACAGTGATGAAGGCAAAGAGAAACTCTATAATTTGTTTAATTATACTCTTGAGGCAAATGTTGAATTGATCATTAAATTTATCGTGCTATAATATAAATTTTTTGTTGTACTGATGCAATAACAAATTTACTAAAACCCAATTTATTATGTGCTCGTTGCTTTCTGTTTCTTGTCTTTATCTTTTCTAGCTTAATTCCTGGTTTCACCAACGTCAATTAAGTCTAAATTCAAACTGTCTTCAAATTAAAATCTGGTTAAGGTTTAATCGACGTTCAAGGATGTAGATTGAACCGGACCAAATAAAAAAAAAAATAAAGAAGAAGAAACAGGAGGCAAAGATCACTGATCAAACCGAGATCAAATTTTAAAGTTACACTCAGATTTTCATATCACATTTGACATGACATATTGTTCAAGATAAATTCTGATCATTCTTTTTTGTATTTCTCTCGTATCTCCATTTCGTCATTCTATGCAACATGTATAAGTGTCATATGATCCACTCATAAAATATACAACCTTTATATATCGACTATATAAAGTTACTACCAAATTTATGAATATCTCTTTGTCTGGGTCTTTCATAAAATTGCAATAACGAGCTATTAGTAAAGATTTCCATGAAGAATATCACAGTGTGATTGTAAGTATTACATATAAATGTAAGAAAAATTTGCCACACATAGAAAAGTAAATTGAGAATCTCTTGATTCGATTTTCAATTTCTGTGAGTGTTGGAATAATAAATTCTCATTTAAGCGTCAAACCGGTTTCACTGAAGGAAGTCCTCGACTGAACGCAAACGAATTATCGATAAGCGGTAATTATTATCGCGTCGGTTGGATTTATGTCTTTCGAGAGGGAGAGAGAGAGATATATATATATATGGGAGTAAGGTGGGAGAGTCGCGCCGAATGTATATCCGGGGTGCGCGATAGCGAAGCGGAAGCACACGAATCACGCATTAATTGGCGAATTAAAGGAAACTTCTCGCCATAACGAAGTTACCCGCCGCTGCACTCGCCGGCTGTTTATCAATTTTAATTAAGCCGTTCTTACGTAAGTGATTTCGCGTTCTTTCGCACGCGCTGCGGCCGGTACGTAGCTCTGCAAGAGAGCGAAGAAAAGAAAGAGAGAGAGGGAGAGAGAAAAGGAGGGGGAAAAAGGAGCGATAGAGAAAAGCCGGGGTATTATGTATTATTCTTAACTACCGTGCGCCGGTGAAACGTTAACTGCAGCTCGCCACTTAATTCTTTCCGCAGTGAGGCGAAGCGCTTCTTTTGGCCGCCGCTACCACACTACCATTACTGTTACTACCATACTCCACCGCTGTAGTACTACTTCTTCTACGCCGGTTGTGAGTCGCGGTATCGTTAATTGCGCTCTCAACGACGGTACCGCTTATATCGCGGTCGTAATGAACGGCATGAATAAAAATGATGTAACAGCTTGACATCGTTTTCCGCCAAAGACGCCTCCTTCTCGCACCAACCCAGATCTGACACACAATGACAATAATCGATGTCGCGCATTGTCTCTCCTCTCTTTCCCCCCCCCCCCCC